TTTTTTTTAACATTTATTTATTTGTGAGACAGAGAGAGACAGAGCATGAACAGGGGAGGGGCAGAGAGAGAGGGAGACACAGAATCGGAAGCAGGCTCCAGGCTCTGAGCCATCAGCCCAGAGCCTGACGCGGGGCTCGAACTCACGGACCGCGAGATCGTGACCTGAGCCGAAGTCGGACGCTCAACCGACTGAGCCACCCAGGCACCCCAGGAGGGTGGGATTTTTAATAGCATCCTCAGCCACTAGAATGGTGTCTGGCACATCAACAGGCCCTCAAGAATTTGTTGAATGTGTGATCACCTGGGCACTTGAAGTGGAAAGACAGCATCCTTACTCAAAAGTAGCTATTATGAAAAATTTCCTTTTTCTTGCCTTTTATTCCCCCTTCTCCCCTCCACCCTCACCCTAAAGAAGCTAGGAAAGAATAACAAAGAAGCATCAGCCCTCTAACACTCTGATCTCAAAGCTCAGCCTAACACTAGGGGACAGGAGTGCCCAGTGGCCCCTCGTCACCCCGTGATGGGTCCAGTGTCTTGATCCCTTGTTGCACAATAGTCAAAGCAAGGGAAGGGTCAGGGAAGGAGGGAGAGGGGAGGGAGAAGCTACAATTAGACAGCCATAGCATCTGAAAAGGTGGTCAAAGAAGCCATTAGCCAATAACAGTATCTTTCTTCTGGAAATCCTGCCCTCAAGCCCACCTTGGACAGTTTTCAGAGAGAAGCCATAGCTGCTCCCCTCCTTCACCAGGTAGCAGAGACGCGGCTGCGTCCAAGTCTCTGCTCCTTCCTTCACCACAGGGGGCAGTTTCTTATCATTCAAACTCGGCTCCTTCCGACTTTGACCCAACTCTTTCAGGTCTACCCGTTTTTTCATGGCCTTCTCATAGGAATCCCCATCCAGGACTAGTAAAGTCACGGAGTTCCCACTCTTTCTGACCAGATCCACAACCTAGGAGAAAGAAAAAGATAACTTGAACCAAGAAGCGATTCCAGGGGATGCTCACCATCTGGCTCAGTCTCTGGATCCAGAGGATTCCGAATGCTGGTCTCTGAAGCCCAAACAGTCAGCACAGTGTCCAGCCGTCTCTACCCCACCCCTCCCAAGAACCAGGTGCGGGCTGGAGGGGGCGGGGCTCTAGCACTGTTAGAACTTAGAGCTCCCCGATCCCAGCTGGGCTCATGGAAACAGCATGGTGTGGTGGAAAGGGCGTGCATGGGGAGGCAGGCAGAAGTGGGGTGAGGTCAGACCGTCCCACATGTTCACCGCATCAAGACATTAGTAAGTCATCGGAGCCTCTGAGCCCTCATCTGCAGAATGGTAATACGTACCTCATGGGTTGTGACAAAGGTTCAACAAAATAATGATTATGAAGTCGCCCAGCATAGTTCCTAGCCTAGAGCAAACACAATGCCTATTAGCTCTGACACTATTCAATCTAAGAACCCTTTTGTGGTTCTCAGTTAATTTGGAGGAGACGATTAACTGGCAGAAAGTACAGCCATAGGGCGTCTGCCTTGCCAGTGGCAGCTGGGAGACCTCTGCTGACCCCAAACACTAATCAGCAGATATGTGGGAGCCAAAGAGATCCTAGAAGAACCCCAAATGTCCCTTTCACCTGCATATGTTCCTCCTTGTCCACAAAGACACCATTGATCCTAAGAACTCGATCTCCGTCCTTGAGGCCCGCCTTCTCCGCTGGGCTACCCTTCTCAACCACCCGGACCAGGTGGCCATCAGTGTCCTTCTCAATTCGCAGGAAGAAGCCATAGCTTTGCCCTTCTTGTTTGGACAGCTCACATTCTCGTGGGTGGAAGGTGGAGGCCATTTCTGTGATGAAAAAAATTGGATAAACCCAGGGGACAGAAAATCCCCTTGGAGAAAGAACCCGTGTGTTCCATCTCCCATAATTCTCTTCTTCTAATCACACCAAATCTAGACTGTAGCAACACTGAGGTTTAGGAGGCCGCCTTCCAGGACCTGCCAAGGATTTCCAAATCTATTTCCCAAAGGATGACCTTTTTACTTGAGTTTCAGACCCATGTATTTGGCTGGGTCCCAGACATAGATTTTTCAGTTTCAATAGCTCCAAACCCAAATTCCTCTTTGTTTCCTAAAGAAAGTAGGTTTAACACCTGACCTAAATATTTTAAGGAAATACCGGCCCAGGACACCTGAGTGGCTTAGTCAGTTAAGCGTCCAACTCTTGATCTCAGGTCATGATCTCATGGTTCGTGAGATCGAGCCACATGCTGGGCTCTGTGCTGATGGCATGGAGCCTGCCTGGGATTCTCTCTCTCCCTCTTTCTCTGTCCCTCCTCTGCTCATGCTCATGCTCATGCTCTCTCTCTCTCTCTCAAAATAAATAAATAAACTTTAAAAAAAAGAAAGAAAGAAAGATACAAGCCCACTTTCATTCAAATATTTAAAGAGCCTCCCAAGTAATAGGCCTTGAGGATAAATCTGTGGACAACACAGACCTTTACTTCGCCTCTCATACAGAGGAGTGCACATTTTTACAACAACACGTGGTGAGGGATATGCTAGGAAAGAACACAGTGATAAGGCAGACTATAACAGAGGGCGCTGGGAGCAGGGACTGCGACAGGCAGAAGTAAGAATGGCTTCCTGGGAAAACGCTTTTCCCAAGACCTGAAGGACTAGTGGGAGGCAGGTAAGGTAGGACAGGATCAGGAAGACCTCAAACAACTAAAAACCAGAGAAGCCAGGCCTCAGAGCCGGCCTGGCCTGTTGGAGAGGAGACAGATAACCAGGACCCTGAAGTTTTAGAGCAAAGTAGGGATACCCAACAGAGAAAGGACTCCTGTGGCCGGGTCAGATTCTCCTGTCTGAAGCAGCTTCTGTTCCCATCCATCCTGCCCTTCCTCTTGCCCCATTGCCGGAGCAGGGCCCCGGGCCACAGGAGGAAGCAAGGACAAGTATGAAAACCACCAGCTGGGACTTTGGCACTCGGCTCGTACGGGGAAGGCTCCTGCCAGCATCATCGATCCCTCCTAGCGTAAGCATCTTCTTCCACAGGAGAGTGAGAACAGAAGCCAGATCGGCTGGTGCCAGGCAGAGGTCCAGGAGCAGAAGGCTGGACTCTGAGGTCATGCTGCCTGCTGCGCAAGCCTCGTGCTCAGCTCGTCACAGTTCCCTACCGGTAAATCAGAGAATAAACCGTCTGTCCCTTCCCCCCTGGAGGGACAGGGACAGATGACCGTGTGGGGTATGGGGGGTGGGGTGTGGAGGAGAGACAGCAAAGTGCTCCAGGCTCCTCAGAAGCCACCCCATGGTGATCCCAGATAGCCATCTCTGACCTTCATGCCCACAAAGACATACAGTTCAAACCTGGCAGAAAGCCTCCCGCTGCCTGACAACTTGGCCATTACAGACAGTCTCAGCGGAGTCTGGCGGCCACGCCACCAGCGGCCCGAATGACTAAGCGGCCAAGAAAACAAACAAATAGACACTGTTCCAAGCGATCTCTCACCGAGGGCCCGGGGCTGAGCCCTCCCCGCTGTGTCTCCCGCGAAGAGAAAAATAGAGCCACAATCGTGAGGTCATCACCCACCCGTGGGGGAGCTTCGCAGCCCTCCTAGCATGACTCATCGCCAGGAAAGCACCGCTTTGGGAGGAGACAGGGGAGGGCATTAGGAGGGACTGGGCATCACCAGAGCAGGGCTTCCTTGCATGCAGGCACCCGGGCTCCCTGGGCCTTTACTTTTTCTTTCTGCTGAGCATCTGGCCTGCAAGTATCACTCCCATTTTCCAGCTTGAATCCACATCGCTGTCCACTCACCTCTAGATCCCTCTCAACTCGCAATTTCATAGAGCTGAAAAGCTAGAAAAAACCCAGAGCCCTCCGAAATTTGGGAACAACTGTAAACAAGCCTCAACCAAATCCTGCAAAATCTGCAACAAGTCCTTATAATCAAAATAAAGGCCATTTCTCAGGCCCTCACCCCTAAAATTCAGCGATCTCCCACCCTGGGAGTCAGCCACAGGATCAAAATCTCTTTCCCTGCAGGTCTGGGAGGATAGAACGTGAAACCACCTTGCTAGGAGACTAGTCCTGTGTTTGGGGAGGGGGGAAGAGGCAACGTTTTCCTGGGTCTCGGTAGAGACCCAAAAGCTCAACACACAAGAAAAGACAGATCACCGCTTCTTGGCAAAATCCCAAATTGTTTGTTTGATGAAAGTTTTCCAACAGCCAGACAGCAATCACTCAGATCCGCACTTGTGTCTTTGAAGCCTGGGCGCTGGCCCCCTACATCCTCCTGCCACCCGTCAGCCCTTCCCACCCGTCAGACCTCCCCACTGGTCAGCCGCTGAAGGATTAATGCCGGTGCCCACGCCACACCTGATGAAATATGTAACTCCTTCCACCACAGCAGCAGAGAAAAACATATCGAAACCCCAAAGCCGGGCCTTCCATTGGACCCTCAGAGCCCTAAAACTATTTCCTTGGCCATCTTGCTGAGAGACAATTCAGCTAGGAGTCAAAGGGGCTGGGCTCCAGTCCACCCCCAGGACTGGGTCCATCTAATCCGCATCCTGGTGTTACACTGGCCCCTAAATAGGGGCTGGGATCCACGACGACCTGCTGCTTTGTGATGAGGATGCCTGGGACTCTGGAACACAGGGCCTAATAGGAAGGATCTTTGTATTTAAGGGTACTCATTCCCTGTTTCTTCAGCCCCAATCTCCGTCTTCTGCTTCCTGAGAAAATCCAGCCCAGATCCCTATGGTGGACAAGTGTTTAACTAGCGAAAGCATATGGATTTCTAGAATACCGTATCAGCAATCATCCAGTGCTGGAGCCCATTAAATCTTCAACAGGCGTTATTCCCCCAGTTCACATCAACCCTAGAAATGAAAGAAAGCTGTAACCATTTCTGAGCTCTGGGAAGAAAGTCAATTCTTGGCAACCAAGTTCCTTGTCTGTGGGAAAGAGAACGAAGTGCTGGCTGGTGGACAGGAGAGACTCAGGGCTGAGAGCCAGATATTTTTTCTAATCAATCTTAATTATTAATCTTACCTTTAGACCCCACCTTCTTCCAAAAGGAGTAGATTATTGCTACGAGGAAAGAGAATAATATGCCCATGGCCCAGAAGAAAAACGCGGCACATTTTAGAAGTTGGGAAGGCAAGGCAATGATGACAGAGGCGGGCACACAGGGCCTCTGGATGTGGCCAGAGAAGAAAGAATTGAAGCCGCTGGGCCATTTACCACACGAAAGAAATAGCTGGTGGGACCCAGAGGACTCTTCTGAGCTCCAAGCCGGCCAAGGGTTCTAACCTCTCAGACAACCATCAACATGGGCCCATCTCTGACCCCGAGTCAACATCCCCTCACCACCAGCCTGCACACAGAGAAGTCTGAGCCAGGAGCTGTTCCTAAGGGTTCATGATCTACAAAAACCAGACCCAAAAAGCCAAGAGAGTTTGATTTGGTTGGCCGAGGCTCAGAAGTCGGCTCATTTTCCCCTCAGTTTGTGTGTGTGTCTGAGTCTGGAAGCTGCCGGACTTTCCTCAACAGGGCTGGCTGGGGAAGCAGTGAGACTCCACTCAGTTGATCCTGAAGGTGACGGGACTTGTAGTGAAGTGTGCTTTACCTGTCACTCTGCACATCAGAAATTTCCCTGTTCTACCAAAACAAAAAACAAACAAAAACAAAAACAAAAACAAAACAAAATAATAATAATAATAATAATAATAATCTGATTGCTTTTTAAATAGGCAGAGGACCTGAATAAACATTTTTCCAAAGAAGACATTCAGATGGCCAACAGGACACGTGAAAACATGCTCAGCATCACTCATCATCAGGAAAACACAAGTCAGAGCCACAGAGGTGTCACATTACACCTGCCAGAACGGCCAGTAACAAAAAGAAATAAAAAGTGCTGGCAAGGATATGGAGAAAAAGGAACCCTTGTGCACTACCGGTGGGAATGTAAATTAGTACAGCCACTGTGGGAAACAGTATGGAGGTTCCTCAAAAAATTACAAAGAGAACTACCATACGGTCCAGTAATCTCACTATTGGGTATTTACCCAAGGAAAACAAAAACACTCATTCAAAGAGATACGTGCACCCCTGTGTATGGCAGAATTATTTACAATAGCCAAGATATGGAAGCAGCCCAAGTGCCTACCAATAGACAAATGGATAAAGAAGATGGAAATATATATATTATATATAATTTAATTACATTATATTAATATATAATATTAATAAATTAATGATGATATATTATGATATATTAATATATAATGTACAAATATATATTTATTGTTAATATATTAATATGTAATATATTAATTACATTATATAATGGAATATTAGTCAGCCATAAAAAGGAATGAGATCTTGTGCTCGCTTTGGCAGCACATATACTAAAAAGAATCAGATCTTGCCATTAGTAGCAACATGAATGGACACAGAGGGTATAATGCTAAGTGAATAAGCCAGAGAAAGACAAATACAATATGATTTCAGTTATATATAGAATCTAAAAAAGTGAACAAGGCAGAAGCAGGCCCATAAATACAGAGAACTAACTGAGAGTTGCCAGATGGGAGGGGCTGGTGAATGGGCAAAAGGGAGGAAGGGGAGTGGGAAATCATGGCTTCCAGTTATGGAATGAATTAGTCATGGGGATAAAAGGTATAGCATAGGGAATACAGCCAATGGTACTGTAATAGTGTTGTATGGTGAGAGACGGTAGCTACACTTGAACATAGCATAAAGTATAAAGTTGTCAAATCACTATATTCACCGGAAAAGAATATAACATTGTGTGCCAGCTACAAAAAAGACAAAAATTAAAAATAAAACATTCTGTTCTAAGATAATTGTTATATGTGGAAATTTCTAATTTAAAACTATCATAGGGGCATCTGGGTGGCTCAGTCTGCTAAGCGTCCAACTCTTGATTTTGCCTCAGGTCATGATCCCAGGGTCATGGGATCGAGCCCCACATCAGGTTCTGTGCTAAGCATGGAACCTGCTTAAGATTCGCTTGCTCTCTCTCTGTTTCTCTCTCTCTGCCCCTCTCCCCTACTCATGCTCTAAAAAATTAAAAGAGAAGAGAAGGGAAGGGAAGGGAAGGGAAGGGAAGGGAAGGGAAGGGAAGGGAAGGGAAGGGAAGAGAAGAGAAGAGAAGAGAAGAGAAGAGAAGAGAAGAGAAGAGAAGAGAAGAGAAGAGAAGAGAAAAGAAAACTATGATAGACATGAATGCTCATAAGCCTACCCAGTGCAGGAAACGGGTGGGAGTGAAGGGATCTTAAAGCCACTTAGCTCATGAAAACTCCATGATCTCCTAAGAAATATTTGAGAGTCTCAAGGTCAGTGGGAGCCTGACAAGAACACAAAGCATTTCCCAATACAAAAGTGAACATGGGGTTCTCTGAAACGTGCCCTACTCCAAAGCAGAGTTATTTGTGTAACTCCTGTGAGCCTCCAGGTTATTTCATAAAGGAATCCTGAAGTTGCTAAAGATCAGATAAAACACAAGTCAGGAGATCAAATTCTTCTGAGGAAGGAAAAGAAAGGACAGCTCCTAGCAAAGTGAAGTAAAGCAAGAATTATAAGATCTTCGTTCATCTCCTCAATCCTGGGAGTTGTCCACTCATGCCCAAAGGCCCCATCCGCTTTCATCTGAGTGAACATATATACTTCACCGAAAGAGTATACATCTATAGACCTTCAGGTGATGCAATAATAAATCACGTTGCCATTTGAAAACTCGCTGTGTGCCAGGCATGTACACAACCTCACTGAACCTCCCGAGCACCTTACAGATTGGATTCTCAACCCTAGCTGGCCCCTAGAATCACCTATAGAGATTTCTAGAAATCAATGCCTACGCCTCACCCCAGATCTACTGACTCAGGCTCCAGGCTTGAAACCTGAACAGGAGCCTTTTTAGAACGCCCCACTAACTTAAGAAACTAGTGCTTAAAACCACCCTTTGTTGTTCCTAACTCCCACTTATTCTCCTCAGTCTTGGGATAACACCCTCATGGATCAGAAAAGAATGTCAAGGTTGGGTGAACTATTAACAGCCACCTTAAGCTCACCTTTACTCAACATGAGAAACCAAGGGGGCAGCTGGGATAGGAGAGGCCCTGGCCACCACGTGCAGTCCTCGGGATCCAGCTCTGACCAGTCAATGCCTTGGCCGACAGTATAGGAGTGCATGGTGACCTGAAGCCTGTGCCTCATGCCTCCCTCCCCAAGTTCCAGTTCTGTGCCAGGCAAACGGGATCAAGCAGGTGAAAGCAACCTTGAACGGCTTCCATGTGATCTTCACTCTATGCGTTAAGTCTGTGGGGCCACTGTCCACCTCCTAAATCTAACCAACCTTAAAAGCAGAAGCCATGCCTCCTCCCCCAGCACCCTGTGGGTGGAGTCTTAAGCTCCATTCCTGTCTGAGGCCCTACCAGTCATCCTGTGGTTCTTCCAGTCATCCCGTGAGCCCCTGGGCAAGAGGAGTGCGTGACAGCTCTACTTCAGCTTCTTGTT